ACCACATAAAGATAAATCAATTAAAAGTAAAGTTATTGTGTTCAACTACAACTACCAAAAAAAAAAAAAAGTTCCAAAATGAAACATAGAGAGGAGGAAAAAAGACTTAAAAGACTTAAAAAATTAATAGGATTGGCAATATCTGGTATAAAAGCAAGTGGTAAACATATGGGTAAGAAAGGGAGAGTAGAAAATACTTAATATTTTAGAAATAATGCAGTCTCTTATCCATAGCAATAGCAGTAGCTAGAAAGCCAAAATTTTCCTGTGCTAGTTATCCAAGCCCTAATTTGTACAGGACAGTGTGACAAGGACCAGGTGATACCTGAAATACGACAGGTACAGATGCAAGAAAGGGACTTTAAGCTTATTATTAATTGCAAGCAGATCTGGCTCATCACTTTTTCTGGAGACCAGCATCACCTTTATTGAAATGGACAGTAAACAAATCTAACCCTTGCTACTCACAAATCCTTATAGAAATAGTTTAGCATAAAGGGACAGTTAGGGTTTCTGCTAATAAGATTGAGAAATATGAGAGAGATGTAGAGGATCTTCTTCTAACAAAAGACAGGATGCAGATTAGGAAAAAATACTTTACAAACATGTATACGATAGGACCTGTATCTAAGATGAAGAATTGTTAACCTTCAGTAATAAGACAGACAAAAAGTGAGCAAAATTTTTGAATAGATATTTCACCAACAATGTGCATGGCAAATAAATTTGTTAAAAGCTATTCAGCACCAATAAGTTATTTGGAAAATGCAAATTAAAACTGTAAGTGATACACCATGATATACCACTATGTTGGCTAAAATTGAAACTGAAAATATGAAGCACTGGTGAGTTTGTGGACTGGGACCATCTTATGTTGCTAGTGAGAGTTCAGAGTGATGTGTTTTAGGAAAAAATTTGGCAATTTCTTGTATAATTAAATTTATACTTATCAAGTATCCCATAAATTCTCTTCTAATTAGCTATTAATGAAAATAGAAAAAAAAATAGCAGCACAAGACAAATGCAAATATTTTATAGGGAGGTAATCATAATATCCTCAAACTGGAAGCAGAATATCCTCAAACTGGAAGCATCTTGCATCTGATGAATACAAACCAATTGCACTATATCAGTAGGATGGAGTGTGTCTCATCCACAGGAAATAGTACTGCTATCCATAGCTGCATAGATAAATCTCAAAAATAAACAGATAAAATTTGATCAAATGTTTGTGAAATTCCAGGAAAGGCAAAACTAGCATGAGAAAGCAGCACTTTGGTCATTGCCTGAGTTGGGAGTGAATCTTGACTGCAGTGAGCCATGAGAGGACTTTCAATGATGAAGAAAATGGTCTGTGTCTTGATGGTGTGGCTGGTCACATGGAATTACTTCATTAAAACTTCTGGATCTTACCTTGTGGAAATTTCACTTCAAGCCATTAAAACAAGGAATTGACTCTCCTCTGATTTTAGCAAACTTCACAGTTGATTAACTAACCATACTTTGTCTTTTAGCAATCATGCTTGTTTGAAAGTTGTTCTTTTTTTTTCTCTTACTCTCTCTTATTCTTTTACTTTATTCCTTATCATTAAAAACTGGTTTGAAAATTGTCATTTTATGAGATTGAGTTGTTTATTTTAAAAATCACTGATACTAACATATAACCAGGTGAGAATTTTTCRTATTGCCTAAGAGCTTAACTATAGGAGGGTTTTGAGTACTTCTGGCTATTTTTCCTGTTACATTTGATGGGGGAAAAAAGACTAGAAATTTATTTCATTTTAATTTTCTAGATTTTCCACCCCAATTCAGTCCTTTTCATGCTTATGATCCCGGTCATATTATACCTCTTGACCTTATCTCTTTAATTCTTAAGACTTTAGTTATTTCCTGTGACATTAATAGCAAACATTTATTGAGCACTTATGGTATACAGACGATTCTACTGACTTTATACATTTATTTCCTTTAATTCTCACAGCATTCCTGTATAGGAAGTACAACTTATTTTTTTCTCATTTCATGTATAATGAAATTGAAGCACAGCAACTTCTAAATTCATGTCACTGTTCAGTAAGGAAGCAGGTATTTGATTACAGGCAGTCCAAATTTAGAAGCTATTCCCTGAATTCTCAAAGTACAAATCCTATAAATTGTAGCTCTTAAATTCTAGTATATATGAGAATCAATCTGTTTAACCATGATTCTCAGAGCTCTCCCTATCCTTTGCAATTCTTCCTGTATAGGTTTGTGATGAACCCAGTAATCTATATTTTTAGCAAGTGCTCCAGGTGGTGGTGTGTTGATCTCAACTTGAGAAAACTCATTTTTAAATTCACAGTACATGGTAATTGTGACCTAAAGCTAATTATTTAACTTCTCAGTGAATTTTAATCTGAGTCATCAAAATAGTGATGTTCTTTTAGTATGAAATGAGATGACAGCTCCTTAAACACAAAGTTTTATAATAAGTTSATTTAGTTTTGTTGTTCTTGATAGGTCATGTTATTGGATAGAATTAGTTGACAGTGGCTACTATTTCCAGTTGTGTATTTCAGTCATAGTGAAATGCAATTAGAAGATATGCAAAAGGCATYTCAAAATGAAATGACATCATATTGATTGTGAGCTCCCAGAAATTACAGTGTTTTCTGCTACAGCATAGGTTTGTAAAATACCACTTAGCTTGTTCAAACTTGGTACATAGGTCATCTATGTATGTATAATGTACAGGTTGTGTGGCTTCATGTGAAGCCATGTGAAACCATGCCTATACTTGGGGTGATTTATTCTAGGCAAAGGGAGACAACATAGTCAAGTGGAATACAGTCTTGTGGGGGAAAAGATACCTGAGCTTGAGTGTCGTTTAGTCAATAGGGACATTTGAGGTTCAGTTTTGGGAAAATTAATCAAAATAAAACAAAAGGGCTTATATCTGGAGCTTGCTGGTCATGGGGCAAATCTTTAGCTTTGCAAGGTTTTTGTATATTTTCAGGTTGCACTGACTGTCCCTAATTCAATGGCAAACCTATTGGCTCAGTTTGCCTTCCAACTGCATTTCCCCCACCATTTCTAACTAAAGTGTTGCCAGAATTTTCACTCCATTGTTTTTTTTTTTTAAATAATTCTGGGCTTAACTGCATCCTTGGGTGGTCCAAATTATCTTGCAAGGTACCAATGTTATTTTTGCTGATGGTCTGCTCCCAAAGTTGCAGGTTTTGAATGGTTTTCCTAGGATCTCTTTCTCCCACAAGTCGTCTTATTTCAACTATGCCGTTTTGTTTGCAATGTGAGGATTACAGGATACATAGCTCATTGTATAACTTAAACCCCATTTTAGGAACATGATCATTTCTAGTTCTGAACTATCTCACTCACTGTAAGTTATTATGTGTTGAATGCTTTGTAAATTACAAAGTAACTTACTTTTTCAAAGAGATCATTTTATTTCCCTGCCACCACCGATGCTGAATTTCTTTATTCTGTCTTGTAATGTCTACAGGCAAGATAGAAATAGTAGACTCAAGAAAATCATTTATTTACCATAGAGAGATATTTTGTACAGTAATGGTCATGATTCTGATAATTGCCAACATTTATGTGAATATATATTTTTTAAGTATACCCTTATTTTTCTAGAGACTTTGCTTGCATTATTACTATTTATTGCAATAGTAATATAATATCAATTTTTTTAAATGAATGTGTCTATCTTACAGATTTTTTTTCAACAGAAATATGGGAGTCTGAAATCAAATTTCTTTTATTGGATAAGAAATTTCTATTAAAATCTCAATACTGTCATCCAAATGATTTTTATTAAAATTATAGGGAAAATTTTTTTCTGATTTTGTACTCTATGCAACAGTTTTCAACACAATAGTGCATGTTTATTAGCTGTTTTCTTTCTAAAAATTTATTCCTGATGARCTTTTGCCAGAAATGGAACATAATATGATCATAATAAAATATTTTTATGGACAGGATTAATGTCATTCATTGCCACTGAGTTTGTACCCTTTTGGGAAGTTTAGAATTTAGTTTTGGACAAAGTCATCTTGAATACAATGATACTTGAAACTACTTTCAAAGTTAAAATAGTGCAGTCTTTTCCACTTTCTAGCTTTATGACTTTGGTCATGGTACTCAATGTATATGAATCAAAATTATTCTTTTTGTAAAGTGGATAAAATAAATGTGCCTGTATTTTGAGTATTCCGATAGTCATATGTGATAGTATACAAGCTGCTTAGCCCAGTAACTGCTGTTAGTGCAACCCATGTGTGYAGTATATCACATGGAAGTATTGGCTAGGGAATTTGTATCCTCATTATTAAATGTAGAAATTACTATATATTTAGTGCCCTGTTAACTGGACAGGCTTTGCCTGCTGAACAATTTAGCTGTTTTAGCGAGTTGCACTCTTGTGTGAGTCTAACCTGATTTCATGGGATGAAACAGAATGAACACCGTGGCTCATGGCTGTCAGTAGTGAAAAATAGCTGGAAATCAGACAAACAGCTTCATTGCTGAAATTATTTCCGGGCTAAAAGTTCTTCCAACAGCTGTTTGTTTTGGCCATTAACATGTCCATTCTTTTTTTTTTTTTTAAAGCTGGGGGAAATATGATTTTCTTTAAAAAGAGAATGCAGCCTGGTTATTTCTGAAGTCAGGAAGAACGCCTGTCCTTCCCCTATTGTGGGCTTTTGKCTTCTTTGATGCTTGGACTGAAGGGTTTTTCCTTTTGTTTTTCTCCTTTTTTTAAAAAAAAACCTCAGACTCAGACTGTTGTAGTAAAAAGAAACAGCAAATCTGGGAGCTCTGTAATTCTAGAGAAGGAGCTTTCTAGCATTTACCTTGCAGAAAAGTTTACTCCCCAGAGGAGTATTTAGTATTACATAGACACTGAGTCACTGAACAGAATGAGGAAGGGGGGTAGGAGGGAAGGARAGAGAGAATGAGAAGATCCCAGCCAACAAAAAAGAAAGATACTTAACTAAAGATGAAGGGAAGTTTTGCCTCTTTCTGAAAGTTATGTTATTAGTTAAAAGAAAAAAAAAATCAGGATGACTGCTAGTTTTGTTTAAAGTATTTGTTCTGGAAATACTAAAGTTGGAGTCGACCAGACTGAGGTTAGGAGCATTTTCTTTGGCAGCAAAAAGATACTTTTATAGAAGCCATGCCTGTACTTGGGGTTGCCTCCAAACGGAGACAGCCAGCTGTTGGGTCAAAGCCTGTTCACACTGCTCTTCCGATACCAAATCTTGGCACTACTGGGTCACAGCACTATTCTTCAAGATCTTTGGAACTTGCTGAAACAGAAAGCTCAATGCTTTCTTGTCAGCTCACATTAAAATCAACCTGTGAATTTGGAGAGAAGAAGTCCCTACAAGGAAAATCCAAGGAGAAAGAAGACAGCAAGGTTAGTAGCTGAAGGTTACCTACAGACTTTCATATCTAAAAATGCACATTTCCTTTTAGGTGGACCACAAAGCATGCTGTGAAATGGGAAGTAGTAGAGGAGCCAGGGTAAGACTGTTAATAGAGTAACTGAAAAGCTGAATGTTTGATAAAAATTGGATTTTTAGCATGTAGTTGCAAAAGCTATGGACAGAGTTCTGCATACATGCATATACTGCATTCACTTAATATTATATGTTGATGAAGTGCTTGATTACTTATCGATATCAATAGTCCCAGATATTGCTCTGTAATATTGCACTAATAAATATGACCAATCACAAATGTTAGAAAAAGTGGACCTATATTCATACATATCATATGTAAAAGAAGATTTGGAAAGATCTATGCAGACATGTCATTTGTATTTGAAAGAATTTCTCTTTGAATATTTGTGTCCTAGGCTGCTTAATTCATTGTAATATGAAGGAAAATGAAATATTAGTTTCCTCGATATTGCACATTTGTCTGGATTTTCACTTGTAAATTGAAACCCTACTGTTTTACTTATTACTGACATCTTTTTTCAGTCATTTAATTTATTATATTTTGTGAGCATTAGCTCATAGCTCTTGCTAAGCTGTACTGCAGTTGTTTTCCCCAGATGCAGAGTGTCAGCTTAGCCCTGCAGCTGATGAYCTTCATTGGGGGGTCGCTTATACCCTGATAAGCATTACTTTTAAAGAAGCATTTCCAGAGACACCATTCTCACCTCTGGAGTCTTAGGAAATGTTTTGATTTTACTTTCCTTATTCAACTGTAAGTTGAATAATTTAAGGAGAAAAAAAATTACATGGAGAAATCAATTCTGCAAGTGAAAACTCTACTCCTTCCTAAATGCTTTTTTTTCATCTATCTTCACCTGTTCAGATCTCTAAACTTTAGCCCAGATGTGGCTTTCTCCATAAAGTCTTTGCTAGCTGTTCCTCTCCTCACTTTTCTTTCTTGTGACTCTGTCTATGGAAACACACCCTCAGTATTTGGTAGTATGTATTTTGATGATATGGTTAGTTACTTTCCATCCCCACTGATCTGAAATATGTATATAAAAGTCAAGGCCCATATCTTATTCTGTGCTCTAGTTTCCTCCACCCAAGGCTGTATGGAGAATGAGAATTAAATAGTGATTGAATGCTGAGTATTAGAATGAATGAATCCACAAATGAATAAACAACCATGATGAGAAAGATTAAGTTTTTTTTCTTTGAACCATTTCTTTTACCAAAGGAGAAGTTTGATATCTCGTACAAAGCATCCTCAAAGTAAGAAAATCAGTTAACAGAAAATATTTTATTAAAGGCTTGCAACTGTCTGTCCAATGTGAGTAATTCAGAGTACTCCTAGGGAAGTGTAAGTCAGCAACAAAGTACTTAAAACTTGAACCTTCTGCAAATAATTAAAGGCGAGTGCTATCTAACTCTGTCCCAATGTTCTGTGTATACATATGTGTTGTCTGGATTCAGTGGAAAGGACAGATCCATTTTCTCTGCTGACCATGGCTGTCATCTCTTTAGGGTTAGTAAAACTTCTACTTTGTTAAATAGCCTTAGATTAAGACTTGACCATTATGAGTAGTATTTTCAAAATAATTTTGGTTGATCACTTTGGTTAGCAAACATATTAATCAAACATTCAATATTCCAATAAGACTCTGTGGCTAGTAGAGTTGTACTTATATTTATAGGAATGTTTTCACCATGCCACTTATCAGATTAAAAACTTCTTTGAACAAAATGTGAAGAATGCCTGGTCAGTGTTTCAGAATATTTGTAAATGCTGAAAAGAAGTATATTTAGAGATTTTTTTTTTGGTGACTTTTGAAAAATTAAGAAGTTGATGACCAAAATTTTTAGACTTGGCTACAAATAGTAGAAAACTCAACAATAGCATGGATAAGAGTTTATTTCTTATTCCGGTAAAGGAAATCTGGAGGTACGTAGTCCTTGGCTGACAGGGTGATTTCAGGAAGTTGTCAGACAATCAGGCTCTGTTTAAGGCACCATTATCCACTGTGGCTTCTACTTCTCAGTCTTGAGCAGATAATTGAGCTCCKTTCAAAAAGAAACACACTATTTCATTTAGGACCTTTTGACATTTCATTGGTTTACTTAGAGTTCTATGGCCTTATAGGTATAGTAGAGACTGGAGAATGCAGTGTTTATAGTAGGTAGCCATGTGCCTGGCTAAAAGTTATGGTTTTTGTTTCTAACAGAAAAAAGACACTGGATAGTACGCACAGTATATGCCTGTCATTTGAAAATATTTATGTGGAGTACTCGGCTAATTATTACCCAACAGTCTCGATTTGAGAGATAAAACCTCGTTTCTGACATTGTCATACACAGGTTTGATCTTGCTTGTCCTGTCCTTGTGTTACACTAGGGCAAATGCAGACACTTCAGTCATCCAGTTGTGAATTCCAAAGCTAGGAGACTAGTCTTTGATGATATACATTGCCACCTCACCTACCGTATATTACTAACAACTGGAGATTTTACTTTTGTTTTGATTTTTGACAGTGCTGAGAATTGAACCCAGGGCCTTATGCATGCAAGGCAAGCACTCTACCAACTGAGCTATATCCCAAGCCCCCTGAAGATTTTACTTTTGATTCATAGCTTAGATATATCCCCTTCTGCATGCCTTCATCTTTTGGTCCTGGTTAAGTTTTCTGTAAATTATTTCATTATTCCAAATTGATATTCTCTTCTCCTGTCTCTCTTCTCCATCATGCATCTAACACATTCTCCATGCTCCTTAAGGGGGAAAAAATAACAACTCTAGCTATTTCTCATGTCTTATGATGTCTTCATTCATGCATTTCAGTTTCCCAGTTGTTGTCACCTCCTCTTCCATCATAACTCCAGCTAACTACTCTATCCCAGATGTCTTCTTCCTGCGTGTCCCAAGTTCTTCAGACAGCTTCGTTCCACAGTCCTTTAGTAAATAATACTAGTTCTAAACTCCAGGTCACATACATTGGAAAAATCTGCCATAATGTGTCACAGGCTTATGTTTCCTTTAGTTATATCTTGTTCTGATTTCTTATCTTAAATTTTGTAATCTCTCTCCACATATGCATTTGTTTTTCCGTTTCTCCTGGGCACTCACCCAAATGAGGAACAGAGTCATTTTGCCTTGGAAATTTAAGAATATGGAAGTTAAATTTAAGAAAAAAGGTTCTTTTTTTTTTTTTTTTCATGGATCAGAAAACGCACAATCATGTTCTAAAAGGTTCCTTCGGTATATCCACTCCTGAGAACTGCTTCCTGGGCTGGCTTTCTCATTCCCAGCTTGATCTGTAGCTCTTTCACATCTAGTCTCAATTTTCACTTGGGCTAATCCAGCTCTTCCTTCTTTTTTTAATTAGTGTAAACTCAAGTATTTTGTTGTTGTTGTAGAAAGCAATATTTTTCAATGTATTTACCCTGTATTTTATAGTAAATTTCTCATTTTATTCTCATAATATTTCAAAGAAGGCATTATTTTCTATATTTGCAGAGAAGTACACTGAGGCATAAAGAGAGCAGGAGGCACTCATAAAATTAAACAGTATGACATCTAGAACTAAAATCCAGAATTTGAATCAGGTTTGTCCCTACAAAACTTTTTTATTTTTATCCCCTACTTCTTTATACTCTCTCTTCCTGATATAATGCCAATATTTTCTAGGTTTACTCTATCCTCCAGATTTCTCTCACTCTTTAAGATCAACTTCAAAAACAGAAGTATAAAAATTCTCTGTGGAGTTTAAAAGGAAAGTGAGTTTACATTCTGTTTTGGAGATGTTAAGAAGGTTATTGAAATAATTAACACCCCTGTCCCTGATAATATGGATGCTTGTTCAGTTCTCCGACTCAACTCTTTGAGTTGTATTGACAATCAGGGTAGAGATTATTTCTCACAAGTGTGCTTACAAAGGGCCGGAACTAGTACTTTAAATGCTTGAAGATACTTAAAAACATTAATTAAGTCAAATATTTAAGCACAAATACTAATATGACAAGCAAATACATTGCATTAATAGTATTATTAATGAGGGCAGGTTTTTATGGCTGAGAGAAATTCTATATGCATGGAACATTTAGAAAACACTGTAATTGTTAGAATGTAATGGGCAGATAGGACTCAAATATAGAGAGGAAAAGCACTCTTTTTTTGAGGAAACGGTTACATACAATGTCCAGTGAATAAACCATTATAACTGGTGCAGAATATTTACCAAAATTAGCAGGTCTAGGTCAGATCATCAATGGAAACAGACTTCATTAGGTATATAACAGTGAGAGCGCTTTTGTAAGCATAAGACAAAATCACACTTGTGATGATATTTGTAGAAATTGTTGCTGAGAGGGTCTAATATTAACTGSTGTTCATAGGTTTGCTACATGCTGGGTACTGGGTTCAACACTTCATGGTGTGTTTCATTCAATTCTAATAGTAGCCTTCTAGAATAGCCCATTATTTTTATCCCCATTTTACAGATGAAGAAACTGATATTTAGAAAAGTTAAATTCTCAGCCTCTCAATATCAAATAAGTCTTTGTAGTAATAGAACATGTTACTCTTAACCAATTAACTAAACTGCCTCAACAAAGACTTCTGCTATTATCAAAGGCAGAGATGGAGGGTTATTGATTGGTTTGGTTTCTGTATAGAGTTGTAGGATTTATTTTAAGTATTAAATCGGCATTGCTAGCAAATTGTTAATAAATCATCAGTTATGTCCCAGTACCTAGAAGTTTCAGGAGAAGACAATTAAGTTGACACATTGACTCTACTGAATTGTATGAGAAACAGAAATAAATAAAAGTAACCCCATGATAGAAATATAGGAGCAGATGTCAATAGAGTCAATCTCTGGCTCTGGCTCCCAGCTGTTTCCTTTTGGAGAGGTTGCCTGATTGCTGAGGACTGTCAGCGCTCCTGTTGGCTGGCTCTCATGGTAACATTTGCAGAACT